AATCGAGCCAAATCCGAAACACAACAGATAATATTTCCAATACATAATATGTTAAACCCGACTTGGATTCGAATCCGGGACTAGCGAAGAATAATACGAGTATCGATGGCAGCAAAGTAAAAACGGACATCTACAAAATCGCAATTTTACAGGAGAGCAGATTTAGTAAAAAATTGTTGTTATTTTGAGAGTTATGGACCGATTAACACGAAATTTTCTATGAAGCATTAAAATTACATTCTTTATGAATTATGTAATAGTTTTTATCGCTATGTCGTTGTTTTACTAAAATAATTTAGATGTTTTTTTTTTACTCTAAAAACTTTGACGTAGAAGAAGACAAGTGCCTGATACCCGTTTATACGTTGTGATAAAAAAATCCATTTCTTTTAAAATATGTAATAATCTAAGATAAATAATCTCCATTAATACTTTTGAGGATATTTAAAGAAAATCTAAGCAACTTGCAAACAGTATTTCCCTTTTTTTGACGAAATATTGCAGATGGCTTTATTTACTTTGCATTTAACATTTTATACATTATCAATTAATGAATTACCTACCAGGCGGACAAATTCAAATGTCCGTGTCTACTGCGATGTTTTTTTAAAGTCGAGGGTAGAGTAGGGTATGGTCTTCATTTACGTGCCAGATTTTCTTCATTATTTTGAAATTTAAAATAATTTTAATACAGACTTGTATATAAGGTTGATTTAAGCTCATTTTTATAAAAAAAGCAGTAGATGTCCGTTTCTACTTTGCTGCCATCGATATGTGATTCTTAATTTCTTAACATCGTCACTCCATCTACTTGGGGGTCACCCTACACTTCACCTACTGGTACGAGGCGGCCACTCGATAACTTTTTTTCTCCGTCGGTTGTCGGTTCTTCGAGCTATATGGCCGGCCCATTGCCACTTCAGCTTACTAATCCGTTGGGCTATGTCGGTCACTCTGGTTCTACTGCGTATATCCTCATTTCTAAATTTATCACCCAGAGCATAGCCCTTTCGATAGTTCGCAGAGCAACTTTGAGCTTCCTCATACGGCCAGCAGTATACGAGTCTTTTAAGGCAACATTTATTTGAAAAAGTTTATTTTTCAAATAAATGTTGAAAAGGTTTCTAAATGATTCAACGTAATGCAAGCATAGTAAAAAAGAGGGAAGATATATTATAGTGTATGGCATCAAATATCAGTATAATGCTGTTGTTTTCTTAGGTAAGTGGTGAAGTGGTATGAGAACCGGAGACCACTTTTATTGGTAACAAGGCGTTTCATCTGATCCTTCAAGGGTTACACTGCATCTCTATTTTGATTATTATTCGAAGGTAGATGTTGGTATATACGGGTCATAACATCCTTAGCATGAGGTGGGCTGTGCTAGTTTGTTACCTTTACATAAAATATCTAAGCCACCCTACAAATAATTTTGGTACAAGACTTATTAAGGTCATGCAACTGATGATTGTTAAGGCACGGCTCATATAATAAAGTAGGTAAGTAAACCAATTAGTAATTGATTATTGTGCCGTTACCAACCACGTCACGACACAAACCATTAACTTTAGGCTTTTAAATATAAGGCATTAATAATAATTAATGAAGTAAGTGGGTTCTCTTACGTCGCCGTATAGTGGCGACACCTCATATAAACCCGAGAGTGTCGTAAAAACGACAGAGAGAAATGAAACAAGAAATGGGAAAGAGCATATATTAGTTAAAGTTAAATTTAAATCTACAGCCTATATATTCGTCCCACAGCTGGGCACAGGCTTCCTTTCATTTCTGAGAAGGTTTTAGGGCAAGAAAATGTCCGCCGCGCTGCTCCAATGCGTTTTGGCGAACTTTACATGCCTTCGAAATATTTTTATTTTCTTGCATTTTCCTTATAACATCTAAATATAATAAAAATCTGCAAGTACCAACCCGCCTACCAAGCGCGGTAACTATAATCTTCCCTATGAGGTAATATACGAGTAAAATGAGTTAGGCCCAGGGAGGTTTATTTTCATCGCCGAAATTTTGATAGGCTGCAATCAAGGAATGACTGAGTCATTAGTAATTACCATCATAGTAACTTAATCGACCGTTAATAAAAAAAAACTATTGGTCTGACCTTGATCAAAAAGACTTCAGAAAGGACTCGATACTCAATTCGACTGTATGTTTTTTATGTGTGTTACCTCATAACTTTTTACTGGGTGAACCAATTTCGATGATTCTTTTTTTATTTGAAAGCTGGTGCTTCACATGTGATCCCATACAAATTTATTTTGAAGTCGGTTATACAAAAATTTTAATTTTTAATTATTACTTGTTATTAGTAAGATGCTACTGCCCATCTCATTTGTTTCCCTCTCAATAATAATCCTCTCAAGTGATTACCTGAGATTGATTTAGCTCGAAACAATAATAATATAGACTATTGCATGTTGTGTTTTTCGGTGGCATAATGCGGCGTCATAGTAATCACTTACAAAAGGGATTTAGTAGAAGTAGGTTGTATTTCTGTTCTTATAAAGCTCGCAAAAACAAAAAACAATTTTATGTACATCCTCGTGTCAATAATCTTTTAAACAACGGGCAGTTCTCTAAAAGATTTTATTTTAAAATATTCGTATCATTAAAAAATCAGCAAAGAGTCTCGAATTCAGGCCTTACATTTTTTTTTAAATAAAGAAATAGTTTAACTTTCGATCATTATAAAACCTTTGATTATCCTCTTAATTTAAAAATTGCTTTTAATCCCGTCGAAAGGGCAGACTTTTATTTTTAATAACTGTAGTTCTCTAAAGGGTTTTATTTTAAATCCTTCATATCATTATAAAATCAGCAAAGAGAGTCTCGAATTCAGGCTTTACATTTTTTAAATAAAGATATAGTTAAGCTTTCGATCATTAAAAAACCTTTAATTATCCTCTTAATTTAAAAATTGCCTTTAACCCTGTCGAAAGGGCAGGCTTTTATTTTTAATAACTGTAGATAATAACGCTGTTTTGCGTTTAATTACCAATCCGCTTTTTACTTTTCTACTATGGCTGAATTTAATTATTATAAAATCGCTTAATCTCTGTAATGAGAGTGAGAGAAAAACTTGAGAAGTGTAAAAGAGTCTAGGCTTTTCTTGAGAAATCTAAAGTCATAAATGTTCTTCGATGATTAACTTAAATCTAAACAACGCCACAATTATAAATCTCGTTCAGGCAAAGTCGTGTTTCGCCTGTTATAGATAACATAAGAAATATTATATTAGTCATAACTATTAAAATAATTTCCCCATAAATTCTGAAGTCGGTGCTAAGACAAAATGTATCGTAAAATAAATGCCAACTTCAGAAGCTGTTATGTGTAAATTATTTTTCTTTTAGTTCTTTTATTTATTAAAAAAACGTTAAGTACTTCCATACTAGGATTGTCTCATGTATCGTGGAGGCAGTTTATATACATAAATTTCACACGGACAAACATCCAGACTCGGAACAATTATTTGTAGACTATACAAATACTTGTTCCGTGCGCGATTCGAACCCGCGGCCCTTAGCGCGACAACTAGTTGCTAAACCTCTGCGCCACGGAGCCGTCGTAGTTCTTTGAAGTAAATTTTTGCTTTTGTCCCCACTCCCCAGGTGTTCAATTTTTTCTTCAAATTGCACTTACCCTTGAGATGTTAATAATTTAATAATTAGGGAATCATTAAATTGGTTTACAATTGGCGTTGATTAAATAAACAAGCAAATACAGAAAAAACATAGTCTAATTGAGAAGCTAGTACTTTTTTTAATCGTGTAAAATCACCTTACGATCTTACATATTTTATTACACATTCGTTTCTTTGATGAGAAACCGCATAAACAAACATGGCTTCTTACTTTAAATGTATAGTAATCATTTTGATTTCTATACGCAGTTAACGGTAACATAATATCAACAAATAGTAGCTAAAATATACATTGAACCGGATGCGGGTATAGAAAAACCGCCTCTATTTTTCGCCTTTAACGAACTTTGAACTTAATAAATTAAAAGCAGAAAATTTCAGTAAAACAATTTTATGTCGAAAATTAATGAATTCGTTATAACAATTTCCTGGAATTCAATACCTTACAAATTCGAACTTCGTGTTATTACAAAATTATTACCTACGTAAATTGTAGCATAAAGTTTCAAATTGGAGAGTGGCCGAATTTATTTTAATTTAACACCAAATTGATATATTTATCAGTTACGAGTATTTCAATTAGGTGTTTAATTTCTGTGAGTTAATTAATCACATTCTGTTTGTATGCTTAAATATTTTTAATTTTTATATTTTTTTTTTACTAACGGATAAAATATATATATTTCATAATATTTTGATAATAATATAAGATTATATTTTAATAATATGAAGAGATTACAAACTTCTAATACGATTTCATTAGAAGATTTTGTTTCTTGTCTAAACAGCAAAACCTTCATACGTCACCCTGCTGGGCGAAGGCCTCTTATGAAAGGGTTTTAGAGCAGTGAGGAGTCTGCTACACTGTTGGGGCCTTCGATCAACAATACCAACAATAACAAGTTGGTATTGTTGATCGAAGGTTGGGGTACATTAGCGTGTCCGACTGTCGTCTTCGAAAATATTTTATACTAAAAAAAAAAAAAAAAAATACAAAAATATTTATTCATAACACAAGTCTCATTTACAGTGTTAGATATGGATCTCACCCTTACACATACTACAACAAGTGTTAATATTCTTCGGTTTACGGATTAAGCTCGTAATATAATTATTCGTCTAATATAATGCAATGAGAGAACACGTTTTAAATGTCCATTTGTGTACAGCGTAAAATCTAGAAAAGGTGTGTGGTATGAGGATATGCAATCAAAGCATTGAATATAGATTTTAAATATGAATATCGACTGATTCTTAAAACTTCTTGTAATAGATTTTACATGAATATAGCTAAAAAATAATATTTATTTTGTCTAACTAAGAACGTATAAAAAGTTACCTTGTGATTTCTTCCAATAATTTGCAAGGATCAGCCGCGTAGAACTTCACTCCAAAGTAAAAGGTGTGTGAATCAGATCCTCGAAGTTGGCGCCGCAACTTTCTCCCTGCATCTAGCCAATGCTGTCCACAAAAACAAGATTCTAATTTAGATTTAAATCAAAAAGCAAAATGCACATACTTACATTGTATTTTTTACAATATTTTATACAAACGCGATTTGAGGCTAAATAATTTGTTTTAAAACATTATTTATATTAACTAAAATAAAGGCTAGAACAAGGCTTTGTAAGCACGCAAAAATCAATTTTAGATATTTTTCGTTACTTGGTAATTCAGAAAAATTAACAAAATTTGATTTTAATCTTATTAGCTCTCGTAGAGCATAATAGATTTGCCGTCCCTTGTTAATTAACTCTCTCCATCCCCGCCAATTTAACTTACGGGATAAAATATGTTTTTGACGTCGTAAAACTACGTTATAGCTACTAGGCACTGTCCGAAGTTTGTAAGAGGGAAACGAAGTTGAGGAGCAGCTTACTAGTATGAAGCGAAGACTCAATTACTGTACTCCATCATTGTCCTCAGCTGTGACAATCTATGTCATTACAAAAACAAAGATATATACTTTCTAAAAGGGCATGAAACAGTAGATTTCATTGGCAAATAACATTACATAATCTCGAATTTCCATTTCGGCGAAATATTTAGATTATCTCGATATAATTTCCTTATCAGTTGAGAATGTGGTAAGTCAACAATTAAAAATTGAATTAGTGCTTTCATCGGGGATTGATCTCAGGTTTCTCGCATACTACGAAAATTAAAACGTGCGCTCTGCGTACACAAGGTTAAATCAACAATACATAGGGCTTATTTCTAATTGTTTAGAATAGTTTTGGGCAAAATATGGTGGTACCAATATACGAGTATGTTTTAAATTAATGCTTACCGTTTGGTTATCTTGATCGACATAGCGGAGACCGAAGTAAGCTGTCTCTAGGAGATCTAGATGTCTAAAAACCACGTCGAGCAACGCTTGCCCAGTATTGTTGTCCTATGTATAAAATAAAAAATATTATTATAATATATATATATATATTATAAAAATAATATTATATCGTATGTAAAAATATTAATAATAAGTTGAATATGAATAAAATAATATGATGTAAAGGTACTGCCTCATTTCTGAGAGGGTTTTAGGACAAAGAAATGTCCGCCGCGCTACCCTAATGCGTGTTGGCGAACTTCACATGTCTTGGAAATATTTTTTTTCTTACTTCTTAGACAAGCAGGTTTTCTCACGATGTTTTCTTTCCTTCACCGCCGAGCTCGAGTTAAATCAGCACTTAAAATTACAATTAACAATTTCATTGATGCCGCCGGTAAACGAACCCGGATTACTCGCGTACTCGACACTTACAGCGAGTACTTAGCCTTATAATATGATGCACATATTTGTAATTATATATTACTATATTATATTGTAATTTTCAATGAATTTTTATAGGATACTACTGTACTGAACCGTTCTCAAATTATCTTTAATTAAGTTCCTGGTACATAAAGCCTCTCATCTCAGTTATTCGAATTGAATGCTGAGTTATAATTTCGTGAACTGAAAATGCCTTCGCCTCAGGCTCGGTAAAATTCCCTGTAAGAGTCAACGTAATCAGTCTTTAGATATACAATTTCTTTTGGCTTAATTTGTGCCAGGGGGAATTATTTCTCGGAGTGATTCTACTTGAACTACGTAGCTTAGTGAAACATAAATCGCTGTACTTATATATCTTTTATTAAATACTAGCTGTTCCCCGCGACTTCGCCCGCGCGTTATTTATTACGATTAGATTTCATGGGTTTTAATTTTTTGCGCGGGACCCTAATCCTTTTTCTAAAATAAAAGTAGCCTAAGTTACTTCTTATAACATCAGCTATCTGCCAGTGAAAGTCCGATCAAAATCAGTTCAGCCGTTTCGGAGATTAGCCGGAACAAACAGACAAAAATTTTAATAATCGTGTTTTTGTTTTATGTACCGTATATGCTTTCATATACATATAGTATAAAGCTGTTATTTCGAAATTACAAACAGACACTTCAATTTTATTTATGTGTATATATATAGATTATATAAGACACAGGTTTAAAAAAATAACGTACTCAATGTGTGCACATTTAACAGTGATATGTCACCAATAATAATGAAACTTTTAAAACAGAATTAAAACCGACTTTAAAAGCCAAAAAAAATTAATTTTACATAACATCTTCTGAAGTTTGTGCTGAGATATAGTGTATCGAAGAATTAAATCCCGGATTTCAGACGCCATACTGCGTCTTTTTAGGGTTCCGTACCTCAAAAGGAAAAAACGGAACCCTTATAGGATCACTTTGTTGTCCGTCTGTCTGTCTGTCTGTCAAGAGCCTTTTTCTCAGGAACCTGTCGAGGTATCAAGCTGAAATTCATATAAAATACTCAAGTCTACTGTCCCTTGGAGCTTTGAAAAAATCAAACTTCTAAGCCAACGCAATCAAAATATACAGATACAGCCGTTTATGCCGCAAATTTTCGACATTCGCAAGGGAATCAAAACCTACAGGGTACTTCCCGTGAACTCAGAATCTTAAAATTTGGTACGAAGCAACGTATTATAGCACAGATAAAAATTGCGAAAAGCATAAATTTTTAGTTACATCATATAATAAAAACATTTTTAATAATTTTAAACTTATATACCTATGGATTTGTTCGGAACCCTTGGTGCGCGAGTCCGACTCGCACATGGCGGGTTTTTCAAAAGTTTAATTATTTTACCTTTTAAAGTAGACTTAAGGATTATCACAAGCTAGGTAACAAAAAGAATTTCGTCTAAATAATTACATTGTAAACGTCATTCCCTGTTTTTCACCTTTAAGGATGAATTTTTTCTTAACAGTTATAAAGGATCAACCCTGAAATATAACGTATTTAATAAAATAAGAATCAATAAAAACTGGATCAGCCAATTTCGAAAAATTAGCGAATACTCATTAAAAAAACATTCGCGTCAAATATAATTATTTCTCGTTTTTGCAACTAATTTTAAAACTATCGATCGCATTGAAATTCTCTTTTGACGTTTTAATAACTTTTTATTACAAACTATACTCTTCTATACTCCCACGATACCGCAACGAGTTTACTGCAAATTAGAACTTTTCGATGTCCAACTCTCCACAATTAAGCTAATTCACACGCGATGAAGGACCAGTAAGACCAGTAGTCGGCGATATGGTATTGGCAGCGTAATAATATGGTATCGAGACTTGGAAGCTCTCACGCACATCACGAAGTTATTTGCGTGTGTCCTTGCTTTGATTGACTGAGAACGCAAAAGCCTGCATTTTAATAATGATAAAATTTATGTAAATTACTTCTACCGTAGGACTGTAATGTTTAACTTAAAAAGATTCTGAACTATCAGTTTAAAAAAAACTGATAGTTCAGACTCTTTTTAATTTTATATTTATGCTATATTTCCTATGATGCACCTCAAAATTTGAAAACAGGTTTATACAACCAGTGCGTTATCACATATAGATCTGAGACGTGGTCTGCGTGGTGCTCGAAGTTTCTCAACGTAGAGTAACCGACATAGCCTACAGGACCAATAAGCTGAAGTGGCAATGGGCCGGCCATATAGTTGAAGAACCGACAACCCATGAGTAAAAAGCTTCTCCAGAAGTATCTTCGTACGGGTAAATGAAGTATAGGACGGCCCTCCACTAGATAGAGTGACGAACTGGTAAAAGATGGAAAGCAGGTAATGAATGTAGGTTACTCATAACCGAGCCTCGTGGCATTCTTTTATTTTTTTTTTCTTAAAAAATCCTTGGGGGAGCTATATTCAGCAGATGCCTTGTGAATAGCTGTAACAATAATGATGTAGACTGTAATACCTATGAAAATTACGTAAAAATGAACAAATTTTCATGTAATTTATATGATACACGAAACATTGGCTTATTGATTTTTTTGTTAATTATAACAAATCTATTGAAATATCATTTTTCAAAATTGAGCTAGTTTCAAGTTGGCTACAAGTCTACAAGATATGGGTGTACATAGAAACGGAGTTAATAACCAGCCAAAAATAAGGTATTTATCTATGACATTGCCGTTCTGAAATATACGATGTATGTACTGACCATTTGAAATCAAAATAATTTTTGTTTAGCTAAGATTTCCAATATAAAATTAATTTTATTTTTAAAACATAGAATTCTTTTTTCAAAGTTAGTAATTTGTTTATTGAATAGCATCATGTTTTTATCGTATTTGAATCTTTTTCTTCATCATGGATACATTAAAAATCCGAGTAATTATGGAATATGAGTACCATCGTGGCAGCAACGACACGGCAGTAACGCTCAAGCGGCACGTAACATTAACGACGTTTACAGAGCGAATACTACAAACGAACGCAAAACCTGTTATTGGTTTGCCCGCTTCCGTTCTGGAAATTTCGACCGATGAAAAATGAACCCCGTGCTCATCCGAAAACTTTGGTCGACAATAACGAATTATAGGCGATTGTGGAAGCTGATGATACTCAATTTACGGCTGAATTCACAGCAGCTTTCGACGTTAGCATCAAAACAATATTGGTCCATTTGTGTCAAATTGGCAAGGTAAAAAAGCTTAATAAATGGGTGCCTCACGAACTCAGTGATCGCCAGCGCGATGTACACGTCGAGACGTGCCTTGCACTTCTCAACAGGCACACAAACTAAGGAATTTTGAACCGCATTGTTGTTTGCAACGAAAAATGAATTCTGTTTGACAATCGCAAGCGCTCATCAAGTTGGTTGGATCCTGGTTTAGCACCTAAACAATACCCTAAACGAAAACTTACCCCCCGAAAAGTAATGGTCGCTGTTTGGTCGTCTAGCGCCGGTGTGATTAATCACAGCTTCTTACTAAACGGGATGAGCATCACTGCGGATGTGTACTATAAAAACTGAACACAATGATGGAGAAGTTACCTCCTACGTGGTAGAGCCATGCTGCAGCTATATTATGGTTGTAGCACGAATGGGTCGGCTCGACCGGGGAAGGACCACGCTCTCACAGAATACCAGCGTAAAATAGTAGCTTAACGCTGCTGTGTTTCGTATGGTGAGTGTAGAGAACCGGAGACCCTTTTTACTGGCAAAGAGGTATTCCATCTTAGTCCTCATGGGTGACAACGCATCTGCATTTTGATTCTTAATCGAAGATAGATGTAGAAGTCTATGGGCCACAGCAACCACTTACCATCAGGTGGACTGTGTGCTCGTTTGTCACCCTTATCCTATAAAAAAAAGCTCGCACGTCTCCAACCAGCTTTGGTTAATCGCTGATCCCCGCTGCTCTTGCGTGACAACGCGCGACCTCATACTGCAAAACAGACGACCTCCAAGTTACAAGAGATGGGGTTGGAAGTTTTCCGTCATCCGCCGTACTCACCAGACCTTGCGCCTACTGACTTCTACTTTTTCCAGAATTTGGATGACTTTGTGGCGGGAAAAAATTCAATACCCGAGAGTACTGCCTCTAAATATATGCTATGAAGAATTTGTTGCCTCCCTCTCAAAAAACCTCAACAGAGGGGACATGATTATTGGTAATAATACCAAATCATAAACCAACATCATCATCATTGCCTTTGCCTTTTTTAAATTTCATAGGTAAAGATATAATATTACATTTTTGGCCCTGTTGCAGTGGGCGAAAAATAAAGTAAAATTTTTCAAAGAAGGCCACTTTAGCCATTGTTAGGGCTTTGAATGCTTCTGCTTAATCTTATATAAAGCAACTAACTTAAAGGTAAACTGGACTTTAAGGTTAATGAACTCCCTATGCATTCGATCCCTTTTTCGAATACAAATAATTATCAGCGGCGATATTATTTTTCTAAACTGTTATATTATAATCAACTTTTGGTCGATAAGAAGCTTAGCGTAATCTGAAGAAAATGGTTTGCAATTGCAACGAAACATACGAAGAACAAGTAGGAAATGCAGATGTTGTC